ATGTATCTACCGGAGACGATAGCGCACAGTTATACACCCTTGCCAATGGTATGACGGGAGAAGATGACGGCAACGCCACACTCAAAACTATTCCCGCGGTGGATGCTCTTCTTGGGCTAAAGACGATGTCCTTCAAAGAGTTTGACGGTGCCTTGAAGGCAGGCAATTTAGCCGAGGTGATCATTATAAGACCAAACGAGGAGTTTATCTCGTTGTTGCTTCTAGATTAAGCTGTCTTGAAGGAAATGAGAGTGTGCTGAACGCACGAAGCGGATCGTCGATCCTGAAGGATCCCTCGGGTCCGTACTATCCTTTAGCAGATGAATTTTAAGACGTCGTCTCCAAAGACCCGCCGACGGTCCTACCTCCGAACCGAGGTGTGCGTCATGAGATTGACCTGGTTCTGGAACCAAATACTGCGTAATACGCCAATGGCCTTTGTTCAAGGAGAAGTGTGACGTCTGACGCCGTCTTCTGTGCGAAGCACGACGCAGGAATGATGCGTGAGAGCAAGTCTTCCAATTCGACCCCACATTTTGTGTCCGGATGACGAATGGATCGCTCACGCTTACAATAAGTTAAACGCTGCCACCATTCCGGCACAAACACCGATTCCAAAATAGATGTCCTCCAGAACAATATGGTTAACTGTGCAAAGTACAGCGCACTCGACTTGGTCAATCTTTATTACCAAATGCCCATGAGAGCGAATGATTTCCGCTGACAGCGGTGAGTACTCCGAACTAAATGCTCTAGAAGTGGCTGGTGATAACCCAAGAGCTGTCAAATGCTCCCGCAACATTAAATCGTCTTGTGGCGCAATTGTTTAGGCCCCATCAGGCGTATGCAAAGACATACTTTGACGGCATCTTCGTCCACAGTCGTGCGGGGCCTGGGAGGATAGATGTGAAAAACCACATCGTCCATTTGCGAGCGGTGCTCAAATGCATGCGCACAAATAAGCTGTATGCTAATGCCGATGAGTGCATCTTCGGCGCGGAATAAATTCCCTTCTTAAGGGTGCTTTATTGGGAAGCGTGGCCTTCGTGCGGATCCCGGCTGTCTGGACACTGAGCATCGGAGGCTTTTTGACAGGGTCAAAGCAAGCCTCTTTCATGCACCAATACATGCGATGCCAGACCACGAACGTCAATTTAGTGTCGTCTGTGACGCTTGGAACTTTGCCAGCGGGTGTGCACTCCTACAAGCAGAAGCCAAGGCGCGAGATCGGGTGATAACGTTTAAGAGGAGCTATCTTGTCCAAGACAAAGATTTACTTGAGATGAAGTGTGCACTTGTCAACTTCAGAATGCATCTGCTTAGCTCAAAGCCGTTTGTGATCTACCCAGATCATGCTTCATTACGCCCTGCGACTCAGTCGCCTCACCTTTCGCAGAGGATGGCCAGATGGCTCTCATTCTTTGCAGAATAAAACATCGATGCTCTGGCTGATGCGATGTCATGCAGACTGGACTATGAGCTTGCTTATGCCACGATGGTGACGTCGTCAGTGACGAATTTGATCCGTGCCGCATATGCGGGTGACACTATGTATGTA